AAACCAATAAACATGTTGTTAACAATCCTCAGATTTTATACCTGTCTACCTCAGTATGCAAATCCATCATCATCACAAATTGATGATGTGACTGAGGGTCCTATAAGACTGGAATTCATGCCTGTGAAAAATACAGCCTAGTTCCACAAGGACCACCCAAACCAAGACAAGCAGCCTGGCTGTTACTCACACTGACTTTCGCAGAGCTCCTGAAGATGTCGGGATTCTGCCACCAGCTCAGAGACCATGGAGAGGAACAGAGAGGAAAAGAGATGGTAAGCATTTTTAAACAGACATTCCTTCCCTCCACTGTTGGTCTTCAACTTCGGTGATGTATTGGTTAACCAAATAATTCAAGTTATCTCTTTAGAAAATAAGTAAATTCAACAGGCCCCACGCAACCAGAGAATGAGCACTGTGGTAAGCTTTCCTTAGTCAGAGGGAAGGGTAAGGGGGGCCTTTCTGTCAAACTGGACTAAGGTCTTTTCATAATGCATTAATGGGGTCCATGGACTCACCACAAATTTTTGTAACTAACACACTGCTGATTGACTACTGGCTGGGTGGTTGATCGATGTTCTCATTCATTTAATTACAATGACAGAAGCAAAACACATGGACATAGAGGCACCTAACTTGGAAGATTTTTTTTCTCAAGGATCTGATCATTTGCAACAACACGCACAGCACAGCCTTAGGGATGGTTATGCAAAGCAGGCACAGAGGTGCAAGGACGGTATGGCCTATTTCATAAAAAGTTAATCTATTGAAAATTGAGGTCAGAATGGTTACCAGAGGTGGGGGGAGACTCTGAGGAAGGAGGGATGGGGTGACGTTGATAGATGTATGGTAAGCTGAACTAGAAAGACACAAGTGGATCTGCTATGGGGTTGCACAGCAGGGCAACTCCAGGGAACAATCACAAAAAGAGCCCAGAACCTTTAGGGAATGAAGAAAGGCCTGAGGATGCAGATGTGTTCGTTGTTACACAGGGTATGCATAGAATGAGACCAGTAAGTCAGATACTTATCAACTAAATGCGAAATAAGAGGAAATCTATGATCCATGTTCAAGTTCCATTGTATCTTTTGATTTGCCAATTAAAATCATTAATAAATATTTTTATGGACTCTGTAAGTGCCTATTTTAAATAAGTCTGTGAATAGCTATAGTCAGGTGCCTAAAGAAAGGGCAGAAGTTTGGTTGTTACTCACGATTGACTTGGTACTAACACACTGACATCACGTGAAGTCTCCAGCACAGCAAAATGGCCCATCAGCTGGTTCATGCATTCTGAGGAGCGCAGAGCAGACAGGGCAATGGAAACATTGAGACAGTCTCTCCCTCTGATCTAGGCTTCACACATTTCATCTGTTTGACACGTAGGCTTTTGTTTACAGTGATGTTTGTTGCATTTTCTTTATATATGGTAGACTTTGAAATTGTTGGGTGTTTTTATTTTTTTTTCGGTCTTTTAGAGACAGGGTCTCCTTGTAGCCCCAGCTGGTCTGAAACTCACTATGTAGACCAGGCTGGGTTTGAACTCACAGGGATCTGCCTGCCTCTGCCTCCTGAGTGCTGGGATTATAAGCATCCACCACCATGCCCAGCTCGACTTTGAAATTGTGATAGACAAAAAATAATGTCTCATTTTCTACTCTAAGATTTAATTAAACTGGTCAATTTCTTATCTACTTGAAATTCTTGCCAAATGCTAGAAAGTATCTAATACACGTTTTCCTTACTAGATAGCTTAGTGATACTCTTCCACTTGCCTCATCTCTTTTGTATGGATTTGTCTGTCATGCTTTATAATCATGTGATGTTCATGAACAGAAACATCATAAATGAGATATTAGTATATCCTGATGTCCATACATGGGATACCACAGGCTAGCTGGGTGAGATAACTCCCTGTTTGACCTCAGATTTCTGGATACTTGGCGATCTTTATGAATGACTCATACATGCCACCAGATCTCATCATCGGTCCAGGATTGCCCCAGGATTGGCCCCTTTTATCCATCACCCATTCTCCATGGAGACTTAGGGTGGTAACGGGTTGTCACTAGTGCAGAGGTGCATGAGGGCATGCAGCTGGCTCCTGGACATACTCTATTTAATGTTTTGAGAAGCTGCTTTCCAAAATGCCTATCCTAATTGATATGGCCACTAATATACAAGTGTTGCACAAGTGTCTTTCTACAAGGCATTATGAACTCACTTTACCCTTTATCTTTTTTAGCTTAGCCATTCTGAACAAAGTGAGGTGACACCTCACTGTGGTCTTAATTTAGGTTTCTGTAGTGATCATGAATATGATTTAAAATATAAATAAATTATATAACATGAATTAGTAATGTAAATTATGATACAATATTTCAGCATAGATCTACTGGACATTGAGAGTGAAATGGTGGTTACCACAGATGGCTGAGCTTTGAGGAAGCAGTGATGGGGAGGGGTTGATAGATGAGGAACAAGCTGAATTCAAAAAGTTGAGGAAGTTGTGCCATGGGGCTGCATACTAGGGCAATGACTGAATGTCTCAGAAGGTTGGGAAGAGAACTGAAGGACTGAATGAAGGGGCAATGATTACTGTTGTACATACGTTTAATTAATTTTACCACTATGCAATGTATGCACAGATTGAAATACCACATAATAGCCTATTACTATAAAGATTTATGAATGGAATGTAAAATTTAAAAAAAATACATGGTCTATGTCTAAGTTTTTGTCCTTTGCTCTTCCAATCTGCTATTAGCAAAAAATACTTATTTTATGGACTGCATTTATAAATAACTATTTTAATCATACTGTGTTTACATATAATCGGATGTGTAAAGAAAGATCAGAATTTTGGCTCTTACCTACAGATGGCTCTGTGCTAACACAGTGACTTCCCATGATGACTCCATCACAGCAAAACCTCCTGTCAGTCTGGTTCATGCATTCTGGAGAGCACAAAGAACCGGAACACTGAGCCAGCCTCCTCCACTGATTCTATCACACACTCATTAGCTTGAGTTACAGCGTGTAACGTATGGGGATGCTTGCTGCATTTTCTCTGAATAAAGGAGACTTTAAAACTATTATTGATGTAGATCAATGTCTCATCATTTTTGACTCTAAGATTTAATGAATCTGGTCAATTTCCTATCTACTCCAAATTCATAATATGTACTATCAAGTATCTTACACGTTTTCCTCACTAGTGATCATCTTTGACTTGCTTCATCTCTATTTTTATATGATTGTCTATTATGCTTGACTACTTTATAATCATGTGAAGTCCATGAACAGAAACATCTCAAATGAGATGTTCTACATCCTGACATCCATCCATAGGATGCCATCAAAGGTGGCCTGGATGAGATTACTTCCTGTTTGACCTCAGATTTCTGGATACTTGGCGATTTTGTGAATGACTCACACACGCCACCAGATCTCATCATCGGTCTGGGAAGGGCCTGGGATTGGCCCCCTTTCTCTGTTGCCATCTAGATTGGCTTATTGATTAGTTAATGTGGAAATCACATAAATCACACAATATGTGAATAGTGTGTATTGAGATCCCTAATATCTGTATGCAGACTCAATTAGACAGAGATGAAATCTCTTTGCTGTTGTCAGCAGGAGCTCATTTACAGAATAGTTTATACAGCTGCTAAGACTCAAATGTTGGGACTGGGTTGTTTGGAACTCTGTGAGTTCACTGACTAATAGTCACAGCAACGAAGACGAGGACACAGACTGTTACTCACATTTGCACCAAGCTCCACCCTGAGATGGAAGCCCCGGCCTGCTACTATGGAGGCAAGTGTCAGTCTTCTGGGGAGCATCAACACTGAGCAGGACAGAGCACAGAGAAGATGGTTTTCAAGGCACTCTTCCATTACTCTCTGATGATCCCCATTCACTGAACCATTCATCTAGGCCATTATAATTTAGAAATTATTTATATCATTTTCTTATAATATGAACATCTTCAAACTTCCAACCAATTAAGAAATAAAAATGTCTACAATTTATACTGTCTCATCTCAGGCAAATTCTAGGAATTATATACTACTAGCTTCTCATTGGACTTCAAGTGTTCAATATGCCAATAAATTTTGTGTTTTTTACTATAACTGGACAATGCTCCACCCTCTTATGTTCATTGATTTCTATATCTTTTAACTGATTGTCTGCTAACCCTCCAAATGCAATAATAGCAAAAATATGTGACCATGGGAAGGAGACTGGCTTCGGGATGGACCTCAGAGCCAGACACGAGCATCATTTGGAGCTCATGCCACCTGTGTTCATCATCCATCCTGATTGGCCCTACTTTTCTCCATTCTATGTTGTTTCTTGATTATCATTAATTCACTGGTAATAATAGAAAACACTATTATTTTCCCCAATGAAAGAGTCAATGTTCCTTCTCTGTATAAAGCAATAGCTCTCACATACATGTCTCCTTAGATGATGAGTCTGAGATGTCTTCTAACACGCACAATCAATGTACTATTTCACATAAATACAAATGTGTCATTGATTACACTTAGTTTAGTTAAGTCTTATTTCAGACTTTTCCAATCTTATGTCACACTATTACACTTATTTATCTGTGTGTGTGCATCTGTGGAACTGGAGGACACAATTTAGGCAATCTGTTCTAGCTTTCCACTTTGTGACCCCAGGGTGGAACTCAGGTCATCAGACTTGACGGCAAATGCCTTGACCACTGAGCCATCTCGTTGACCCCATATTTTACACTTTTTAATAAGTCAGTGAATGACCATCAGCAAACCAGCTCAACCCTGTCAAGGATATCAATTAGCACTCACCACGGTTCCACGCTCTATACAGATGTGCATCTGGGAGACTGCTGAGCCTGGGACGTGGGTAGATCCCGTGGCGCACCCATTCTAGGCAGTACAACGGAACAAAACAGAGGGAAAATATGACTCCGTTTTCTCCAGGCTTCGCTAATGCACTTGCTGTTTGTGTGGGACCTCAGAGTTCCAGACACTGTACTCATCATCTGAGACTCAGACGCCGGCAGGAATCATCATTTTGGTCCGTGGAAGCCTTAAGTCACTTACTTCTGCTTAGTTGCATGTTTTGAACTAGGTAAACATAAGTGGGTTTTATTTTCAATTTTTTTAAGTTAATATTTTAACTGAATGAATGTAAGTTAAACACGTGTATGGTGCATAATAGAGACATCAGTGTAATTAGCTTTTTTTTTTTTAATGCCTGAGGCATGTTTACATTTGTGGACATCAGGCAACAACTGTACATACTATTGCAGTTAAGTCTGTTATTCCATGCGCATGTGCTTTCTGATCCACTCAGGGGAACCGGCGTGTACGGGTGTTGTGACTGCTGTGTATTCAGAGCCTGAGTTCATCGCTTAGGTTTTTTTATATTAGATGTAATAATGTCCTTCTGTACCGCACTCATGATTATTGTATAAATTCACCAATATTATTTCTAAAAAGACTTTGACCCATAAGCTGCCAACATAAGAGACTCCTGCTAATAGAGACCCTTCGTGAATTATCCTTAGCATTTTATGTGTGCTATTCCATGCAAAGGTTCATCTGAATCCCGAATCATACTAACTGGCATGTGGAATATGACATTTTATGCTCTTTAAACACAGAAGGATCTACAAAGACTTTCCCTCACATTGCCCTCCAAGCTCCTAATGGAGATAAAACATAAAAAACCCATGTATGACTAAGATGGGATTATTAACCAAAAGTCAGACTGTATTTATTTTGTGTTGGGCCTTGAAGTCCAGGTACACTTTACTTATCATATTTGATTGAAATAGGCACCAGACAAGAGCATAAGCCTCTGTCCCCTTTAGTGAATTTCTGCATTTGTAGAAAAATGTGGCCTTCCCTCAGAAGCTAATATTGTCTGCAACTGCTGAGTGTATGATTCTTAAATACAGGCCGGCAGCAGTGGTACATGTATGATTCTTAAACACAGGCCGGCAGCCGTGGTACATGTATGATTCTTAAACACAGGCCGGCAGCCGTGGTACATGTATGATTCTTAAATATAGGCCGGCAGCCGTGGTACATGTATGATTCTTAAATACAGGCCGGCAGCCATGGTACATGTACACCTCTGTCCGAGTCAGTGGATTCAATAGATATTACTAATAATTCTGCCTATACATGTATTTTTATAATTGGACACTGTCTCACCCATTTTTATCATGAGATAATATAGGATTTATTTCCTCATTGATGCAGTTATAAAGATAACACGAATGTGTAATGTGGATAATATGTCTCTTTCGGGAAGGCCCTCAGAGTTCTAGATAAGTAGTCATCATCTACAACTACAACCTCTGTGGTCAGCACTGATTGAGGAGAAAGCCCATTTTTCTCACTTTCTATATCGTCATCATTAATAATCATTAAAAGTTATTTTATTCATAAAAACTCAAGAAACAGTCTTGTTCGTCATCTGTATAGGGAAACCTCTCAAATCAAATGTTTCTTCCAGTGATCAATCTCCATGTTTTAAACACGCATATTTGATATATTCATAATATTCTCTGGTCATTGGCTGCACATGGGTCAATGTGATTAGATTTTATGCCTTCTAATAATGCAAAGAATAACCTTCACCATCACCTAAACCACAAGAATCTGAACCACAACTTACACTCTTCCCAAGTTCTAAGGCAGAGATGTGACCAGTTGGCTGGGGACCACGGAAGCTGTGGACATCCATCTCCTGGGACACCCATTCTAAGGAATACAAAGTAGGGCAGAGGATAAAAGGTGACGCTCCCCTCCGCAGAGCCTCGCTTATGCGCTCATCTTTTATGTTGGACCTCAGAGTTTCAGACACGTGTCACTCATCATCTGTGACTCAAACACTGGCATTTCCGTCTTTGGTCCAGAGAAGTCCCAATTTCTCTTCATTCTTACCTACACTGTTTGCTAAGCAATCCATGAATACTACCTCTTAAGGTCAATGATGTACAGATGCCCAGGAGGAAATAGCTATTTGGGATATAATTCCTGTAGTCTTTCATAAATTGACTTCAACTTCTCACTAGATTAGTTACTCACTTAAAATATTCATCACAATCTAAAAATGGGTGCCCTGGGCCTTAGAACACTGCTTATTTAAAAATTAAGAGTAAATTAGCTGGGCGTGGTTGGCACAAATCTTTAGCCCAGCACTTGGGAGGCAGAGGCAGGCAGATCTCTGTAAGACTGAGTCCAGCCTGGTGTACATAATGAGTTCTAGACCACCTGGGGCTACAGGGAAACGCAGTCTCAAAAAAAAATTAGAATCAACTGAATATATAAAGCTAGATAAGAATTATGCCTGTTTCTCAAACTGATTTTCAGGCTCCAGTGAGGGACACACCACTGAGCATCAGGAACTGTAGCTTCATTCAACTGCCTCCATTGAGAAGAGCCCAGAGCAGCATAGATAACAAAAAAAAAAAAAAAAAGACAGGCTGAGGCATTCTTCCCGCAGACTTCTGGTTTCTATCTTTGCTTTATGAAGTGACTTATTTACTCATTAATTTGGCAATATAAGCTCTTATCTTGAGACAAGCAAATTTAAAATAGTCCCATACCCAGGTGTCCAACACTGGTTCTAACATCTTCTGTCTGCTTCACCATAGCAAAAGAGGTGAGAGTTTCATTTATTTCAAATGGACTTCACTGTATTCATTAACATATTAACAGTGCTCCTCATCATAGCATATTTTTGTATTTGAAAATACATGGTTAGTTGACTGGTTGATGCTGTCATTGATCTAATTTTACCAACAAAATCAAAATACATGAACACAGGGGACAGCATCAAGACCCTTGGCTATTTTGCCTCATATGTAAAAACATTAAAAAGGGCTTATTTCTGAATAGGTGGAGAGGATGACTTTACCAAGAAAATGGACTATCCTACTTTTGATTTGGACATTAGAACCCAGATATGTTTTATGCATAACAAAAAGCTCACTCAATACCAGCCAACATCATCATCCATCATCCAAATGTTGCCTTTTATTTTTCTTTTTTATTTAATTTTTTATTATTAATAAAGTTAAGCAATAAAATAATATGAATCACAAAAATCTAAGACTGTGGTGCTTGACAGATTAACATCTATTCATAGAATCCTTTTCACTTTAGACTGTGTCTTTTATTAATTAGCCTATACAAGGCAATTATCAATTAGAAAATATGATTCACATTATATCTGTCAATAGGCCAAGTAGGTCGAGCTACAATAAACATGGGAGTTCCATGTCTCTTAGACACGCTAGCATTTCCTTTACTCCCATAGCTATGAAGGGATAGGTTGAGTCATAAGGTACCTTGGCAGCAGGGCTGGAGTTTGAAGTCAACTGGGTTCATAAAGGAAGATTCTGTCAGAAGAAAAAGGAAGAACAAATGTTTAACAGGTTCATCTCTATTCAGTTATACATTTACTTGTTCATTCTTTTTTAATAATATTTGAAACTCATGAATGTGAGGACCGAAATACAAGAATTTATGGACATCTGACCCGTAGGACCTCAGAGTTCCAGACACATGGTGCTCATCGTCTATGACTCACGGGCCACCAGTCATCATCATCGGGCCTGCACAGGTCTCAGTCACTTTTGTCTTCCATCCTGGCGCATTGTTTTATTAACAGAGGAAGATGAATTAATCATAAAGTCCAATAATAGTGCTCATTAAGTTCCCTAACCACCATCTGTCTACAGATTCAATTTGTCAACCACCATCTCCTTTCATTCCTGCCCTCGTGGTTTCTATATGAAGCACTCACTAAAATGCTTCAATTAATCTCACATTACAGTTGACATGTTTGGATTTATTTGATATTTTCATGAAATAGCCTTACGAATGAGCAGCAAGGTGGCAAGAATACTGACTACAACTCACAGTGAATCAAGGCAGAATTCGGCAATGTGAGCCAAGCAGGTGACGATGGGAGAATGTGTCAGTTCTCTGGAGCGTCCATTCTGGGGAGCGTAAAGAACACAGAAAAAAGATGCCCCTGTCCTCCGCCAACCCTTGCTCATGCTCCTTTTGCTTTGGACCTCAGAGTTTCAGCATGTTTCTTTCATTATCCAGAATTCACACCGAGGAGCTCTCATCATCGGTCCAGGGAAGGCCTCATATCCCTTTACTGATTTTAGCAACATTTATTGACTAATTCACTGCCACTAGTAATATTTCTAAAAGCTTATGATTGACAAAATTCTGCAATACAGAACAGTTATTATATACATATTATAAACATATACATATTATATACATACATAGTTATGTATATACATATATACATATTA